CCTCCCTACTAGAGCTTCCTGTCTCCATTTAGAGTTTTCCTCTAACTAAGCTTGGATAATCTTTAGTAAATGAGCACCTGGACCTAATAATCAGCCACCTGGGGTAGACAGTTACCCCCTGATAAGGCTTTCATAAGGTGGTCACAGGCAGACTTGGTCCTAAATTCCCATAAAGGGCAGTTGCCCTTTATGTGGAAAAGCAGCACTGATAAACACATCCTCAGCTGGAACGCAACAGAGCTTGCCAAAAGCTATCTTGGCATGAGAAGGAAGAGTGGAAGCATGTTGCAAAGAACTTTCTCCTCTGTGGAGACAGGATTCCCTCCAAGCATAGATGCAGAAGGGAGCATGGGGCCCTGGATCTTTAAATGTGCAATCATCCTAGATCCAACTGAGCTGTGTGGTCCCTCAGTGATTAGAAGCATTTAGGGTGATCAGGTCCAATATGTTATTAGCAACATAAGCTTCTCAGCCCTGCAATGTGCACAAGTGCATAGAATCATAGAATCATAGAATATCAGGGGTGGAAGGGACCTCAGGAAGTCATCTAGTCCAACCCCCTGCTCAAAGCAGGACCAATCCCCAACTAAATCATCCCAGCCAGGGCTTTGTCAAGCCTGACCTTAAAAACCTCTAAGGAAGGAGATTCCACCACCTCCCTAGGTAACCCATTCCAGTGCTTCACCACCCTCCTAGTGAAAAAGTTTTTCCTAATATCCAACCTAAACCTCCCCCACTGCAACTTGAGACCATTACTCCTTGTTCTGTTATCCGGTACCACTGAGAACAGTCTAGATCCATCCTTTTTGGAATCCCCTATCAGGTTGTTGAAAGCAGCTATCAAATCCCCCCTTATTCTTCTCTTCTGCAGACTAAACAATCCCAGTTCCCTCAGCCTCTCCTCATAAGTCATGTGCTCCAGCCCCCTAATCATTTTTGTTGCTCTCCGCTGGACTCTTTCCAATTTTTCCACATCCTTCTTGTAGTGTGCGGCCCAAAACTGGACACAGTACTCCAGATGAGGCCTCACCAATGTCGAATAGAGGGGAATGATCATGTCCCTTGATCTGCCGGCAGTGCCCCTACTTATACAGCCCAAAATGCCGTTAGCCTTCTTGACAACAAGGGCACACTGTTGACTCATATCCAGCTTCTTATCCTTTGTAACCGCTAGGTCCTTTTCTGCAGAACTGCTGCCCAGCCATTCGGTCCCCTAGTCTGTAGCAGTGCATGGGATTCTTCCGTCCTAAGTGCAGGACTCTGCACTTGTCCTTGTTGAACCTCATCAGGTTTCTTTTGGCCCAATCCTCTAATTTGTCTAGGTCTCTCTGTATCCTATTCCTACCCTCCAGCATATCTACCACTCCTCCCAGTTTTGTGTCATCTGCAAACTTGCTGAGGGTGCAGTCCACACCATCCTCTAGATCATTAATGAAGATATTGAACAAAACCGGCCCCAGGACCGACCCTGGGGGCACTCCGCTTGATACCAGCTGCCAACCAGACATGGAGCCATTGATCACTACCCATTGAGCCTGACGATCTAGCCAGCTTTCTATCTACCTTATAGTCCATTCATCCAGCCCATACTTCTTTAACTTGCCAGCAAGAATACTGTGGGAGACCGTAACAAAAGCTTTGCTAAAGTCAAGGAATAACACGTCCACTGCTTTCCCCTCATCCACAGAGCCAGTTATCTCGTCATAGAATCCCTATCCCCATATGGAACCTCATTAAAGTAGTGAGGTTCCATATGGGTTCGGGGCATCACATGCAGAATCAGGACCCAAGAGTGCAAAACTGGTGAATCCTGCACTTTGATGGCTTGTGATGGCTCGATTTATAATTCGTAAACAAAAGTCAAGAGAATTACTTCAAAAAGCTTCTATCCTGTTTTTAATACAAACTAGAATAAAATAGCCTAACCAATAATGAGTACATCCCCAAACAGTCCATTTCTTCCAAGCCACCTCCTCCCCAAATGCCCAAGGGAAGAAAAAGTGGACTTTGCAGCATTCCTGGAATGTAAACAAATCCTGGGTCTGTTGGATCAAAGGTGCAGTTGTCTAAGCCAAACATTAGTCACAGAGAACACACCTATAGTGTTGCTAAGGGAATATCTCTTGCCCAACAAAGGATAAAATGTTAATAAAACCCTTGTTTACTGTTATAGTATTAAACCGTTAAGTGTGGTCTGGGGTTCCATGGAAAGTTCTTGCTGACTTATTCACATTGAAACAACGGCCATTAAAATTTTTTAACCTTTTGTTAAACACACAAGCAAGGACAGAAAACAGTTAAAGCATTTGGAACTTAAAGAATTAATTAAGGTTTTCATTTGAACAATTTCCCTTATTCCCATTCTCTTTAGCTATATAGAATCTTTTACAGGGGGATACCTCTGCTTGATGGACTTTTTAGATGGTATTAACTGTCCTTTTTGCGGAAAAGAGAAATAACTTGTCTGGTTTCCTTTAGGACAAAACCAAGCAAACACACACACCAAGGAAGAAAGAAAGGATACCAAAAGAGCGAACCTAGTTTCTGTCTCTAATGTTCTTTCTTGCTTGCATCCTAGCTGCTGGAAATGGCAGGCAGAGCATACTATCTTATCAGCCACTCTGTGTATGTCTACACACTGCAATTAAACACCAGAGGCTGGCCCATATCAGCTGATTTGGGCTTGCAGGGCTTGGGCTGCGGGGCTGTAAAATTGCTACGTAGATGCTCGGGCTGGAGCCTGGGCTCTTGGACCCTCCCCACTTTGAGGGGTCCCAGGGCCGCCCGGGGGGGGGGGCAAGTGATGCAATTTGCCCCGGGCCCTGCAGGGGCCCCCACGAGAGTTTTTAAGGGCCCCTGGAGCGGGGTCCTTTA